CCATTGTGGATGTCCACATTTTCTGTCAATATTCTGCGATTAACTAGCCTGGTGAAAACCAGGCCCTTGTTCTTTGCTTTGCTTCGTACAGAAGATCTGGACTCTCAGGTATTGAGACRCGATTGCTTCCTGGAGGCGTGGCCTCTGTTGAAGTTTAAAACAATTGGATCTGATTTACCCAATCGCTAACGGCTGGCGGCTACGCATGTGTGCCAGCTTCACTGTGAAAGAGGCTAAGCTAAGAAGCTAACCAGAAATTGTGCGCGCTGTTAACAGCCATCCTATACTGAGTGGAAAGAAGTACCGAGCCAAACAAAATGGCTGTAAATAAGTCCTGCAGGCTTTATGAGACACATTTAATTTAATTTGGAAGCCTTGTCAACACGGACTGGCTTCATTCACTTCCTCTGCTGCCAGTGTTAAACTACAAACAGGCACTGCGCAGAAAATCAACGTCGTTCAAAACCCCTCCTTCTGTTCTCTGATTGGTCCAGGTAAAATTCTACCAAAGAAGTCCTTGTCTATGGGAGAATTCCCAGATGGAGCAGTGAAGGAAACTAGAATTGAGCGGAACTACGTAGGGAGGCAAGATTTTCCTCCTCCGACTCCTCTGCAACACAATATTTCTGTTATATGCAAGGGAATATTGAAATTTACTGGGGTAGCACATACGTAAAAAAAAAACTGGTCAAAATTTACTCCCATATTACGACACCCCCGCCCCCCCGCCCAACTTCATAGATGATTCTTGGGGTTAAATTTTTGAAAATGCATAAGTACAGAACATTTGATTAACTTTTGTTGAACCACAATCAAAATGGCTGCCACAGCTAACTAACGTTAAATAACAACTAAAGTGGAACCACTACATACACTACGGAGCAAATGTAAAAACACAGCAACAATGTTACTGAATGCTGCACCCCAGCTTCGTACACTCACATTTCGTGCAGATGATCCGGGGCCGCTCCCAGCTGCCGTCGGCACGGCAGCGTGTCGTGGGGATGTGGCGCTGGTAGAAGCCATCGGAACACTGGTAACGCACGACTGAGTGGATGTCATAATGTGATCGTCGCCGACCTATCAAATGGGCATTCTCCACTGCAGGGGGTGTCCCACATAACACTGTCAAAAACAACAAAACAATATAAAACTCATACAGCTAAAATACATTTCCTGTATCTGCTAATATTATGAGCATTCATCATTTAAAGCAGTCTGTGGTTTTAGAGACACAGCTGGTGGTGATAGGAATGACAGGAACTGGTATTTATAGCAGCAGCATGAAGAGGAGGTCCCAGGCTGATGTGGCTGTGTATGGTTCTTCCTCATGCTGCCTCTGTTTGTTCAATGAATAAATTGTTAAATTGCTGATTTGTCTTGTTTTTTCAGACTTTAACTTTTACTCATTTGAAATGCCGATACCTGGAAACAATAGATTAATTTTTTTACATTGTAACTGCGACCTCCATTTGTTGAATGCTTACACCATCGATACGACCCACATTAGAAGAAGATACTGTATATATAT